TCTGCTTCATTTCCCAGACAGAAAGAATGTAGTGGGCATATTAACCAATCTTTTTGTTTGCAACAGCTGACCCGAGGATTTTTTTTTCCAAAACAGTTGTACTTTTCCTTCTTTGTGATGTAAGAGGAAGGATTTGAGAGGTGGCTTGGTTTTTTAAGGGTTTTATGTGTTTTTCATTATAGAAATATCTGTAATATCAAACCTGATCTTTCCTAGTTCTGTTGAACAACAACAGGAAAGTATAAAGGATCTTTATTGTGAGATCTTCACCCCACAAAGAGGTGACTGTTTTTTCCCCATATGATCAATATTGAGGCTAAACAGCATGAGGTTGTCCTAGCTTATCCTGGGGGTCCTACTCTCATGTGCAGGAAAGTGCAAGGGGAGCGTAAAGCTTTCTTTTCCTCCCTCTCGCATCTTGCACTCAGCGAAGCTTGGGTGGAGCTGAGAATCAGAATTTGGGGTGTGGGACAGGCTTTTCACCATGCCCAAGTTTGACTGGAGGATGGTGGGGACCATATGGAACCATTTGTGGTCCCCTGGTCCTCAACTAGGCTGCTGCTGGAACAAATCAGACCTTCATAGTAACTGATGCCTCTGGCGTTGCTGCTTCCCCTTTTTTTCCTGAAATGCCCCTGGTGTGCCGCCTCCTTTCTTCTTGCACCAAGGATTGGAGAAGAACTGGCACAGGATGCAGTGGCAACTGGTGCCTGTGTGGGGAGAGAGTACAGGGAAGGCTATCCAGAGTGGCAGGCAGGAGCCATGCGGGGGCACCCCATTTAGCAATTAAAATTTGGGAATGGGAGCAGTGCACCTCCCAAGTGTTACCACGAGTCACCTATGACAGGCTGAGTTGGAGCTAATTCTGTCTCCAGTTTTCCACTAGCCTGTTATTTATCTGCCCCAGAGAAATTCTCCACCGAGTGTCTCCATCCATTTAATGCCACTTATGCTTCACAAAATAGCTTGGACAGTGGTGTTTTCCCCCTGGACACTATCCTGATCTGTTCAACGTCTTTTCTAAGGAGTTCCTTCAATCCAGTTCTCCTTCAGCCAGGAAGAGAAACGAAGGCTCATTTAAAAAAAAAAACCCTCTAAAATAAAAGGCTTTAAGAATTTAAACCTACTTCCAAGGAAGATTGTCTAGAGTGTCGTATCTATTGGTGATCAGTCAGGAACTATTGCCAAACACTTCAAGGATGTTGCGTGAATCTGTTTAGGTATATACATACAACCAGCAGTTGTCCAGCAAGTTCATATAATAGCAAAAGTCCTGTTGAATGTGTGCAAAAGTCCTTTGGATTTATTGAAATCTAATCAGTGTACTGTTAACAGAGAGCAAAGCAAAACTAATGAGGATGAAAGATTTGGGAAGTGCATTTTTTTTGTATTTTTAGCATGTTGCTCCTGTTGCTTGGGTACAGTATTAACGAGTTTGAGATCTAATCAAATGGAAACTGCTTTATGTTTGAATTATCTCCTTTTATATTTTGTCTGTCAGTGTTTCCATTAAAAAGCCTGTTTTTCACCCAGCCATTAAAATGCTCTTTGAGTTGAAATTTGGTGACTTTTTTTTTTTCCTGGATAGGCATTTTAAATGTTCTTTGCTTTTGAAACAAAATTTAGTTAAAACCAGTACGGCTTTTTATCTTCCCTTTAATTAAGAAGCATCTAAAAATAGCCTTTTCAGGCATTTGTACTATATTCTCTGATCTTTAAAAGCAACTTATTTTCTTAATGTGAAAATTCCAAGCGATTCATCCACAATATAAACTGAATGATGTAATTTAAATTGCTGCATGTAAAATCTATGTTATGACAGAGAGAAGATCTTTTCCTTTCTATGGAGAAGCCCCTATAGGTCTTATACAACATGCTTGGGCATAGTATTAGATGTTTTTCTGAGCAGATGAAGTGTGCAGGAAAATGATCATGTGGTTAAGGTTCTGGGTTGGAATTCAGAATATCAATTCCTGACTGAAACAGACTTCCTCTGTGATCTTGGGCGTGTCACTTTAAGACGCATTGTTTCTGATTCAGTTCTCCATTTGTAAAATGGGTCTAATAACACCCTTTCCCTTTTCCTTTCCTTTCTCGATCTGTCTTACCTATTCAGAATGTAAGGTTTTTTGGGCAGGAATGGTCTCTTACTGTGCGTTTGTAACAGTGCCTAGTACTCCGATCTCATCTGGAGCCCAAGGTGCTCCCACAACACGAATGATAAGCCCTCGCATAGGCTGTCACTTTGTGAAACCATGTGCTAGTATAGGCTATCAACAAGAGTCAAACATGGAAACTTCAGCATCAACATACAGCTCTTTTCAACTGGAGCTAAGCTCCCATTCTTTACATGGACTAGCCACTAGAGTGAGACTTGTCACACTTAGCCAGCATGTTACGTAAAACATACAAAAGTCTCAGTCTGCATACTTAACGCTCAGTGGAGGACACTTCACCAGATACTGATCTAGTGAATTCTGCTTCAGTGAAATTCCTTTTAAATTGTATGGTCTGTGAGTTGATGAGAGTCTTTATGGGGTGCAGAGCATACACACCCTCTCTTTTTCTTTTGATTTTCATCCACTAACCACCCTCAAAGCTCTCATCTCCCTGCAGTTTCAGCTTCCTGGTGAACTAGAAATGATACAGCTGTACTTCATCCACTGCATGAGAATCTGGTGATGACAGGCGGGCTAGGTGTTGTGTACGGATGGGCCTGGTGAAACTGCAATTGCTTGCCAACATGCAGAATCTGCCCCGTGTGTGTGCATCACATACATGGTGATTCCACTAGCTCTGAGCTTGCAGGAGTCGCTGTACACTGCAGCTTTCCTTATGGTTGCTTGGTTAACCTCTTCATTCGAGTGTGGAATGGGAACCAGGATATGCCCTTATAAGATGACTGCTCCGTAGTTACTTGTGCATTGGCTGGGTCAGTGTTTACATATGGAATTGAGGTGGCATAAAGCATGCCACATAATAAAACATGTTCTCTAGACTCTCTTAACCAGCTTTTCAATAATTGGAGGTTTGAAGTCTGGACTGTTACTTTGTGAAACTCTCCCCTGTCCTCCACCTTGCCACCCTCCTGCCATTAGCTAAAAATGCCCAAATCTCAATTTGTTGAAATAGAAGCAGTGGTGGCCTGGTATGGTTGAGTTTTCTGTCTTACAGAAGGAATTGTTGGAAACATACTACATCTACTCTTAAAAAGTAGCACACAGTGAAGCTGTTATAATAATGATTTGTTCAGCCCCTCTGATCTGAGCTAGGTAAATTCACAATCTATGGTTGTCATACTGTATATTGGCTGTGTATTCCTCCTTGTGCTGGCTGTTTGGTTGAAATCCAGTGCTGTATGCTAAAATAACACTGCAACTCTAACAAATCCGTTGACCTGAAAAAGCCTGAAGGATGACTTAGCACAAGTAGGATCCATTTTATTTCTGTTTTCATATTTATAGTCTAAATATTTCCACAGATAGTCTGGATTTCTAAAATAATGAAGTATTTTTATTAGCATTCTATATACAATATTCCTATTGTTTGAGGAACTGTGAAAGTGTTTTATGTAAATTGGAAACAGGAATGTGAAGCATTAAGACTTTATCTGAATATATTTTTGTGGCGATTGTTATTTTTGGTAGTGGTAAGAATACTATAATTTAAGAAAGCCCCTCATTTTTTTTAAAGTCTTTTGTCTTTGTTTAGTCCCAAAATGAATTATTTTGAACAGTTAAACATAACCCATTCAGTTATTTTGAACAAAGTAAGTAGGGAAATAATTTACTAGGCTTTATTGTTTCTATAAATGCCTAATTTTTGTGTGCAGAAGTAACTCAAAAATGGCAAAATTGAAGGCCACAATCCTGCAGCATGGTCTACTACTACACCCATGGGGAGCCCAATAAATATCAATAAGACACTATTTGTTGGCACTACTTGGCTTTTCTTTTTTTGTGTTATCAGCAGAGCTGTTAACTTAAGTTCTGATTGTAGGATCAAATTCTGCCCCCAGTTATACCTGTGCACTTCTATTGAAGACCATGGAGTTTGCCTGGGTGTATCAAAGCAGAATGTGGCTTGAGAGCATATATTGATCCTTGAAGTGGATCAAGCAGGGGGAATGTATCTTGACCTTGGGAATCAGGTTGTGTTTTCATAACTGGCATTTAAACATTCTTAAATAATCTTATTTTGAGCTCCTTGGGGGGCAGCAACCATCTTATCATTCTGTGTTTGTACAACATCTAGCACAGTGGAGTCCTGGTCGCTGACTGGGCTTCTAGCCTCTACCACAATACGAACAATAAGTAATTGTTCTTTAACATTTGATTTGGAGTAAATGTGAGTGAATTAACTTGGATCCACTGTTTTTACTTTATCTGGTGTGGCTCAGAATGTGAGTAACCCCCCTCAGGACAAAATATCAAAACAGATGGTATCACTGTACACCCAAGCTTCTTGCACCACTTTGTAATAGTTTAATGCATGAAGTCTGATGGCCCTACAGTGATGTCAGTAAGTATTTTCAATCTCCAATATTAATGGATAATCTGAGTTACATAGCAGTTAAACCCTTGTGCACTTGGCTGTGTCTTCGCTATGTGTTTTGCTCTCTCTGTAAAATCCTAATGGAGGCAATGCACTATAGTATTATCTCAGTGGAGTTAGTCAAGGGCAACCCCAAATGGAAGATTGACTAACTATATGGCGATAAAAATTACCTGTGCTTTGTCTCCACTAGGATTTTACAAAGTCAACTCAGGATAGTTAGTACTGATTCAATGGAAAAACACCACTTTTTTTGCAGTGAAGATGCAGCTAGTGGAACTGAATCCTGAAATTTTGGTTTGCAGATGCTAGCTTCAACCACTGAGCCTTGCTTGATTGGTCATAGACCAATATATTTAATGGGTAACTGAGCCAAAACTTGCTAAGCATAAAATCAGTCTAAATATGATTAAACAAAGTTTTCTAATAAATGGTTTATTTTTCAGCTTAATCCACATTATCCAGATGGCAGTGCTGAAGGAAAGGTCATGGTAAGTGGAATGCTTCCTTTAAATGTATTTCAGGATGTTTTGTTGTAGTATCAATTAATACAAAGTGTCAGGCCTGGGTAGAAGGAACATTTTTATTTTACTTGCATATAAAACACAAATTATGCATACTCTTAATGTCTCGTGATAGCCCATCAGGGTGCTAGGTGGTGTAATTCATTAAAGATCATGAAGTGCTTTGAAATCTTTGAGTGGAAAGTCCTATAGAAAGAACTGCGGGAAGTGGTGGTGGTATTTGTCTATTCACCTTTTCTTTAAGGCCACGATATTGTTTCAGTTGTCCATAAAGTAGGCAGGAAGGGAAAAAGAGAAGAAGAGGGTCACAGAGTGCTGGAAAGAACTTATCAGCACTTTTGATTACTATAGTCTCTATTAGGGTAGCTTTCCTGCTGCTTTGAATTCTGCTACCACCAAGAAATATTGTTAGGTAAAGTTTTCTCTTAAGCTGTGTCTAGATTACATCCCTCTTTCGACAGAGGGATGTGAATTAGGCACTTTGAAATGGCAAACGAAGCTGGGATTTGAATTTCTCATGCTTCATTTGCATAATCATGTTATGGCACTCTTTCGAAAAAGTGCTATTTCGAAAGTAAAACCGTGCTCTAAACCTGAGGTTTACAGGATCTTTTGAAAAACCTTTTTGAAAGAACCGTGTCTAGACCAGGGTTTTACTTCCAAAATAGTGCTTTTTCAAAAGAGCGCCATAATGTGATTATGCAAATGAAGTGCAGGACATTCAAATCCCAGCTTCATTTGCAATTTTGAAGTGCCTAATTTACATCCCTCTGTTGAAAGGGATGTAATCTAGATGTACCCACAGGGTATGTCTATACTGCATGCTTATTTTGAAATGAGCTATTCTAGAATGGTTATTCCAAAATAGCTTATTTTGAAATAGCACATCTACACTGCAGGGAAGCCTCAAAATTAGTCCAAGGTAGGCTTCCATAATGTAGACGTGCTATCTCTATTTAGAGCCCCAGTAGGTACTGGGGAGGAATAACTTAGAATGGCCCTGGAAAAGGGCTATTTCGAAATAACAGCAGTGGAGCGACTACACATGCCTTATTTTGGAAACGGCATTATGCCTCATAGAATGAGGTTTACAGATTTTGGAATAAGCCGTCTTATTTTGAAATTATTTTGAAATAATGGAATGGCTGTGTAGATGCTCACATTATCTCAAAATAATGGTGCAGTGTAGACACACCCTTTCTTAAGAGAAAATATGTATGTTTGCAGATCACTACTGGAACACTGTTACATCTCTATATTATATTGGGGACTGAGTTCTTCAGGGATTGGTAATGGATCTACAGAGTGTTTTATGTCTAAATTGCTTGGCTAAATCATGTGTCACAACGGCATGTACCAGCTGGTAATTGGTTTTAACCAGTCGATACTGTCTGGTGGTTGCATATGTGACATTAATTGGTTGTCTAAATTCTTCTTAAAGTAGACAGATTTCTACATTGCTCTTTAGCACTGGGCTCTTCAGCAGAGAGATCAAGGACAAAATAAAGTTGGGTATTTGTCGAGTTTGGAATATGTCTGTTCTGTGATCTGTACAGCTCTGGGTACAATGTTCCTGTCCAGAAAGAGCCAACAGTGAAACACTTAATCCAGTGCATGAATGACAAAGTCAGTGCAGCTGTTCATAGCAGTAAGTGTTTACTCCCAAAAGCGTTTGCAGGGTTGGACCCTTAGAAAGGGGCTTATAAGCTACTACATGGAGCAACGGGTCTGAGCTACTTTGGCAGCCCTAGAGATTTTTCTTTAGATCATAGTAAAGGCACATGAGAGAGTGTCAATAGTCCTACCCCGGCCAAAGAACCACACACAGACAATGTCTATACTGCAATCCTATACTTTTGGTTGATCATTCCAGATGACTTGGTCTCACAGGACAGGGGCTTAGTGTCTGTTCAATTGTGGTGTAGGTCCTTGGGTTGGTGTCCGGGCTCTAGGAAGCTCCCAGGGTTCAGGCAGCTGTCCAAGCCCAAACAGTTCCATCACAGTTAAATAGCTCCTTGGTTGGAGATCCATGAACCCAAGTTAGTTGACGCGGGCCAGCTGTGGGTTTTTAATTGCAGTGTAGACATACCTGCTGCGGCCTACTCTTGCCTGGAATTTAAAGCTGTGACACATCAGTTAGCTAGTTCAAGCTGAACAACAACTTCTAAAACTCTAATCAAGGCAAAGCAAGTTGTATGTTGGCACATGCCAAGGAGGTGGAGTTAAAGCCTATTGAGAATCTTTGTTACCAACCAGCCAAATATTCAAAATAGTAAGTCAGTTCTGTTCTGCTCCTCTGCTCCAAATCATGTGACTGAATTAAACTGCAGACTTCTAAAAATAGATATGGGGATCTTTTTATTTGCCCCCTACTTTTTAAGCCTTTAGGGATGGTTTTTTTTTCAAGCTTTCTTTTTCCATAGAAACTTTTAAGAACAATTGTTGAAGGTCTCACGAAATCACATGACTCCAGGAGCTGGCGTGTTTAATATCAAATGCTGTCAGGATTGATACACTAATCCGACATAAACCTCAACCTATAATCACTCCTAGGATTTTCTTCCAGGACCTCCTCTGTCCTAATTCCCTTCCTTTTATATATAAGTTGGAGCTAGTTGTCCCCATTCTGCTAACCTGATTTAGAAGTAACTTCTTTTAATTTTAGTGCAGGATGCTAACAAGCTACTGTTACTTAAGAGACTAATGTGCAAGATTTTCCATTATGCTATCCAGTTACAGAGGAATAGTATTGTCGATTCTCATGATTTTATTCTGAATCCTGTGATTAGTGTTTTTTCAAAGCCATAACTCCTGCAGTTGAGAAGTTTTTTAAAACAAAAGCAACCTTCATTTTTGTGAAAAGCCTAAAATGTGAACCAAGTATACCCTAAATGCACAAAACCCTAGGGCTACGTCTACACTGCAGGCTTCTTGCTCAAGAACTGTTTTGCGCAAGAGGTCTTGTGCAAAAGGTCTTGCACAAGAGCGCGTCTACACTGCTATGTGCTTTTGCGCAAGAGCATCTTTGGCAGTGTGGATGCTTTCTTGCGCAAGAAAGCTCTGATGGCCATTTTAGCCATAGGGGTTTCTTGCACAAGAAACCCCTATTGCCTGTCCACACTGCCCTCTTGCACAAGAGGGCTTAATCCTTGTGAGGAGAGGAATAACTCTTGTGCAAAAAGCCCTCTGTTCCGACGTTTTACTGTAAATTTACTTGCGCAAGAACGCACATGCAGTGTAGACGCGCCACAAGTTTTTGCGCAGAAAAAGCTATTCTTGTGCAAAAACCCTGTGGTGTAGACATAGCCTAATAAAAAGAACTCCATTTTTTAAAAAACAAAATCTCATGTTTTTTAAGCAAACATCATTACTTTTTGGGTTTGGGTCATGATTTTTTTAGTGCTTGCTATTGATGAAGTTGGCACGGGAGTGCCTGCTCTGTTGCTTCCCAGGCTGTAGCTTCTTAAATAAAGTTAGACGTCTGTGGTGTGCAGGGTTGTCAGTTTGGAAGCTTGTTCCAATGTGTATAAAAAACACCCAAGAATTAACTCACTCCCCGTTCCATGCAATATTGGGGTTCATTTTCCATTGAATGTTTCCAGTGCTCCGATAGCTAGAGCTCTACACTTGTGACAAATTAACACTTCCTTTGCAAAGTAGACACCTCATTCCCATTGAAATCCAATGGAACTGGGCGCATATTTTTCTTAAGACGGGTCGGCAACCATTTCAAATCAAAGAGCCAAACTACATCAAAATTCAGAACAAATAGTCAACAAAGAGCTATATAAGAATACCCATTTGCATGACTGAAAATATATAAGTTAATAGTATTGATAATTGACATAATGATTAATGAGAACACAAATGAAACATTGTACTCCCAGACTTTATTTAATGGGACTTCTCCTGCTGCATCTTTTCACACAGTTCTTCAAAGTTTACATTATAACTGGTCAAATCCAACATCATGCATGCATTCAGTCTGTCTTCTGTCAATCTTAGGGCAGGGTGTAGGGATGTAGGGGTGCAGGAGTCTGAGCTGGGGTATAGGATAGGCTCATGGCAGAGTGTTTGGGTATTTGATGTGCTCGGCACAAGATTGGGATGTGTGGGGGTGCAGGAGTCTGTGTTGGGGTATATGATGGGCTCAGGGCACAAGGTTGGGATGTGTGTGTGGGGGAGAGGGTGCAGGAGTGTTATGACAGACTTAGGATATGAGGTACAGAAGTCTGGGTTGGGGTTTCTGAGAGGCTCAGGGAGGGGGCTATGGGGTAGGGTGTGTGCAGGGGGTTCAGGAGTGCTTTGATGCTGCTGCAAGATGGGGGGTGAGCCCCAATTTGGGGCTTGTTGGCCAGGCTTAATTTTTAAATAAAGTAAAATGTTATGTCCAACACAAAAGGTTTCAACATTGTCTTTATTTATGGCAGGGGTGGGGAACCTTTTTGGGGTCAGGCTCCTAAGTGAGCCATATATGGCTTGCTAGCTATAGGTTGCCGACCCCTGTCTTAAGATAAAATTTTCTAAGGGTATGTCTACACTACCCTCCTAATTCAAAATAGGAGGGTAATGTAGGCATACCGCAATTGCAAATGAAGCCCGGGATTTGAATTTCCCGGGCTTCATTTGCATAAAGCCGGCCGGCGCCATTTTTAAATGCTGGCAGTTCGAACCCCGTGCCGCGCGGCTACACGCGGCACGGAGTAGCTAGTTCGGATTAGGAAGCCTAATCCGAACTAGCTACTCCGTGCCGCGTGTAGCCGCGCGGCATGGGGTTCGAACTGCCGGCATTTAAAAATGGCGCCGGCCGGCTTTATGCAAATGAAGCCCGGGAAATTCAAATCCCGGGCTTCATTTGCAATTAAGGTATGCCTACATTACCCTCCTATTTTGAATTAGGAGGGTAGTGTAGACATACCCTAAGACACTTAGGCGTCTTAAGTCCCATTTTTCAAAAAGTGAACCTG